ATTCCAATCAGGCAGTATCAACCTGGAAATGGTTGGAGTGCTCCAATGATAGGAAATAGGAGAGAGACTTTTATGGATAAAAGGAAGAAGCAAAACAAGAAACTTACTTGATTGGCTATAGCTTAAGCTTTTGTCCTATTTGAAAGAGTTTAGTTGGCTGTTTGTGATTGGTTGTTCTTAGGTTTTGTTTTCTTAACTCTGAGACATTTACAGACTTAGGTTTTGGGTTTCTTATAAAGGCTGCTAAGGTATTAGAACCACCTCTGATAGCCTCCTTGTTTAATTAATAACAGCCTACATCAGGAAGTGTGTGGTGAAGGAAACAAAAATTTCCTAAGTCAACCACCTTCTGAAACTTGAAAGAGGCTCAGGGGACTGATACACCACAATTAAAATCTTGCCTCCTCCACTCACTTCTGGGTGACTTGGGGAAGTATCTTTCCCTTTGCTAGCTTTCACTTCTCTGAGCTGCCAAATGAAAAAAACAAAACAAAACTGTCCCTTCCTATAAAGTATTGGAAAATTAGCTATCCCTGACCACTAGTGAGGGCTCGATAAATGTGAGTTATAAGTAACTTCTTTCTAATCATTCATTCACTCAATAAATATTTGTTGGTGGCTAATGTTTGCCATGCACTGTTCTGGGAACAGGTGACAAAGCAATGAACAACATTAAATACATTCTCCCAACTGGTCATCAGACTTCTATTTGAAGACCTCCAGTGACAGGAAACCTACTACCTCCTGAAATGGCTCATTCAGGCAATTCTGACTGTGAGAAAAAAGCAGTTGCTTCACAATTTCTATCCATTAACTCTATTTCCATAGCACTAGAGCACCTACTGAGTAAGTGTGTTGGCTTTTCACCATGCAAGCTTTTAAATATAGAAGGTAGTTTGGGTGAAGTCTGGCTACCTAAGGGCCTGCAATGCTCTCTGACTCTGGACGGGTTGCTTCCTCCAAATCTACTCTTTGCTTGTTTTCCTCTGTTTCTTTGAAAGAATGGTATACAGAAGTAGCCATAGTATTTCCTCTTTTAAGATACTGTACCTCTTTTTAATAAAATCTAGGCTCAAAGTAGATTTACCAACAACAACATGACAATAACAATTCATATTGGGCTTTAGGTCATCTGAAAGCTTATTGGTCTAAGTCCCATATCCCTCATTTTATACTTGTGAAGTTTTGTGTTTTTTAAAAAATAAAGTGCAGAATGGTTTATAGTTTATCTTTTTATATAATTTATCACAGCAACATATTGATATCAATTTGCCTCTAGCTTTTTACCATGTGACATTTTACTGTCCCTCTCAATTTTGTATAATTTGCAAATTCAAACATGTCCCATCTCTCTCCAAATAGGTTACTGCTATAAAATGTGGACCATTGTCAGTGTTGAGAGACGAACTCATTGTTTCTGTGTTAAAATTCTCCGTCCAATTTGATATCAAGCTATCCATCATTAATGTCTGGATACCATCAATCCATTATATATCCATCAGATAATGCTATTCTCTCTAGACCCATACTACCATGGTGAAAATTGGAATTACAATTTCCAATATCCTCTTCTGGCATTTATCTTAGTCTCTATAATTCTTTAAAGCTACTCTCTAATATTCCTTCTACAAGTTCTTTCATAGAATAGAATCTAATCACAGAACAAAAGAAATTCACTTTTCGAATCCAATCATTCCCTTACCGTCTCTTCATCCTTCGGGGGTGTTGTCTCCTTTCTCTTCATTTCCAGACATCATTTGCTTTGAATGAGAGGACAACAATTTGAGCAGTTATGATCTCTTCACATCCTTCTCATTAATATTTTCCCTCTAGACCCATGGAGTGGGCTTATTCCCTTCCTTCCCTCTCGCCTTCCTTTCTCACTCCCTTTTACCCTCCCCCACTTCCCTTCCTCCTCTCCTCCTTCCTTCTTCCTTCCCACTCTTCCTCCCTCTTTCTGCCTGTGCTTCCCTCTCTTCAGTCTCCTGGCTCCCATCTGCTTCTCTTTCTCCAGAAATGATTATAAAATAAAATGTTGTTATCAAGAGGTAGTATAAAGTGCAAAGAGCACAAAGAGCACAAATTTTTGATGGAGCAAATAATTCTCTACAGTTTGGGCATTTGCTTAATCTCTTTAGATTTACTTCAGAGGTTTTTACGAACAATAATTGAACAGATGTAAAAAACTTAGAGCATCTTTAAAGCATAATAGATGTTAAATAAATGTTAATGCAGCATGAGTTTAAAGTTACAATTCCACAATTTAGATGGCTAAAATATGTAATTTGTGTTTTTACCAGAAATAGATTCAGTCTCTACTACAGATTCCCCATTCCCACTCAGTAGTGGGGAGAAGGGAAGCAGCAGGACAAGACCTTCAACTTGGCACGAAAAGTGTCTTAGTCTATCTCAGTCTCAAAAACAGTGGGTTTTGGATGTTTGTTGTTTTTGTTGTTGTTTGGGAAATACACAGTAAATTTTAAAAGGCAAATTCTATTCATGCAGATTTTCCTACTTCTTCCAGGAAACTCCCCTCTCTCCTTATTTCCATGGTGGTCTCAGGCAAAATTTTCATGATAGTCACCCTTCCTCTGGCCCCATTTACACAGCACAGTGCTTTCTCCTTCATCTCTGTATCTGGTGCAAACTTCCCTTCCATCATATTTTATATCCTGAATATGACTTAAAATAAAATTTTATTTATTCTAAAATTCTGATTTGAGTCCTCCATACAAGGCTCTTGAATTGTAAAAGTGAGTATTTGGAACAGACTGTCTACAGGCAAATTAGAAAAGAATCACACTATCCTTGAGTTAAAAAAAAGAAGTGAAATTGTTTCTTTTCATTTTTAATAATGACAGTGATACGAAACATAAAGCCATTCTGTGCAAATTCTATAAATCAAAATTTGAAAATAATATACCAAATATAAATTTTTAATTATAATTATTTAAAAGTTAAGGTCAGTAGGATATAAGCATTGGTTGTAAAAGAGTTATTTATGCTCCTTGCTTTCAAGGAAATGAAAGTATTTATTACAATTTCCATGCATACTTGCTCCAATATTTGTTTTCTTTAAAAAAATAAATTCATGTGGCAGGATACATCTTAAGTCATTTTTGATGTGTTTTATGGGAAACTTCTTTTTTTTGCTGGCAAAGTTAATATAGAACAAGGGCTATAAAAGTATTTTAAAAGATGTCTAGCAAATTTGTGTCTAAATATTTTGCAAGTCTATAATGAAAGCTCTATCAGGTTTTATAAAATTTAAGCATTTTAGTTCTTTAAAAATAGAGGTTTTATCGATAGCATGTTTCTTGCTATGGTCATAAGTTAATTTCATTAGTAAATATATATGCCACTTTAAATGTATAAAATCTAACTCTTTCAACACAGTAAATCTTTAGTAAAGAAGAAATTGCATTGGGCATGGAAAAGATTGATTTTCAGATTATCTTTGAATCATAGATGTGCTGATTGTGAGGTTCACACTCAAAGTGAGTTTTCTTTATTCTTTTTCTAGGGTGTTTTGAATGGGAGAAACTGATGTCAGTACTGTTAGTCTGACATTTAGTTGGAATCAATGTTTTCATAAATGTCAACAATTTGTTTTCATCAAAGAATTTCATTATCTCTTCAACAATTTCAGAGACTTTTATACACTGACTTTTGTTCATGTATCATTTTGCTTAAAATATTGTTAGTATAGACCAAATAATTTTAAGTATATTTTAAGTATATCTTTGATTTTCATTACAGAATCTAGATCCTTATCAATACATCAACAATTTCTAAAATAGTATTAGAAGAGTATCCTCCAATGAATATTCTGTGGCCCAAGGGCATCAATTCAACTTTCTTACTGCTGTTTTGACAATGGCTTCAAATTTATGCAGGAAATGTATTTTTAGTATACTTCAACATTTGTTCACATTGTAGTGTTTTAAATGTATCAGAATCAATAAAGATTTTTACCTTATTGTTTACCACAAAATTTAGACAATGCATGGAATGAGAAGTATAAAATACCTTTAACTACTCTGAATATCTTCTATCCATTCTCCTTTCCAAGCATATGTGCAGTACTGTTGTTTCTCTTATACCTCAAGTTATTTTTTTATGTCTCGATTTAAAGGTTTTGGCAAAAACTAAATTTTGTATATAATTTACTCAACAAGACCTTGCCCATATTCTTCTTATGTTCACTTTCACTCTCTGTTTAGAATGCCTCAATAGTCTATCGAATTTCAATTTTGAATACACTACTTTTGCTCTTTTCATCTTTGTCAAGATTATTTGATGAAGGTTGTCTATGTTTTGTCCCTTCTCATTTTTCAGTTGAATATTTTCCATCTTCAAATAGAATAAAATATATAGAATCTTTTGGTTTGTAATAAAGTAAAAGGATCTAGTATATTTTTAGCAATTTGGAAGAACTTATTAATGCTTCTGTGGCTATTCTGTCATTTGGTAATTTAAAAATTTCCATTGTTTAATATTCAAATTATACCATCAAGTATCCTAATCTTCAGAAAATATATTTGGTCTAATAAATTTTTCATGTATATTTTATCCCAGTTTGCTTTGTTTTGTTTTGTTTTTTGAAATTTACCATTTCTGGCTGACATGGACATGAGAGATAAATTCATATCCTTTTTTATCAGTGACATATTAGTGTTATACTACACAGAGACTAATAGCTCTGAAATCTCCCTTTTATAGCATTACATCTATTTTCTCCAAAAATGTATCTAAATAATACAAAATATTTTCTTTCACTTATGTATCCAATGACTTTCCATTTTGTTTTCTAAAATTTTTCTTTTCATCTTGACATATGAGGAAAATAGTATATAACAGCTCAGAAATTATTTTAAAATGTATAAAAATTTAAATAATACGAACATGATAAACTCATTAAATTTTAACAATACATAATTTTTGTACTGACAAAATTTCCATAAGAGAATATCTGTTCAAAAACAATTGGCCAATTAGCTGATAACTTATAACTACTTATAATTATGATAATTTATATCTATGCAATGTTTATTTTGTGATTCAAGTGTATTAGTCACAGTTCTCCAAAGAAACAGAAGCAAAGGATATATATAAAAAGACTTACTATAAGGTATTGGCTCATACAATGGAGGATGAGAAGTCCCATGACCAAGGTGGAGACCCAGGAAGGCCAGTGGTGTAGTTAAAAGGCCTGAGAGCTGGAGATCCCGTGGTGTAGATTTCAGTCCAAGTCTGAAGGCCTAAGAACAAGGAATGCCGAGGGCAGGAGAAGATCAATGTCCCAGCTCATCAGACAGAGAATGAGAGAAAGAGAGAGCCCTCCCATCCTCCACCTTTTTGTCCTGTTCAGGGCCTCAAATCCATCCACATTCCTTTCACCCAGTCCACTGATCCAATTGCTAATCTCCTCTGGAAACACCCACACAGACACACCCAGAAATAATGTTTAGCCGTATATCTGACATCTCATGATCCAGTCAAATTGACACATAAAATTAAATATAAGAATAAGTGATATTTAGTTATTACATAATGGTTCATGTAATGATGAAGATACTTGTACATTCATATTGTGAACTCAGCAGTATAGTCTTTGTCCTATAAACATATGGCAGATGATGCAAAGGAAAATATTATATAACAACTTAACTAACCCACTTACATGACAGAACTTTTTCCTCTTAATTTCAAACAATAAAAAAATAAGATCATAATGTAGAAACATAGCTAATTTTAAATTTTGTTACACCAACAAGCTCAGTTATCAAATTAATTCCTCTTCCACAGGTCAAAGGAGAATGATATGTTAATATATGAATTCTGTGAGAATAAAACGCTTTATTTCCATCTTTGGGAAGGTTCTTGTAAAATAACGAACACTGACTGCCATAGATGTTACTATCACCATTGTTACCAGAAGTCCCTGTTCAAACCAGCACAACTGGAGTTTACACTTCTCTTTACCTTGGTATATTGAATGTCTGCTTCAAGAGCTACTTTTCTGCCCAGGTTATTACCCCAGATATTTCCAAACTGCCTAAATGACTGCCCAGAAGTTCCTGAAATACCAAAATATCATATACCACACGTGCCACAGTGTAGGTCTCTGCTACTGCTAAAAGGTTTCCCCTTTTAGGATACACAGAATACCCTTCACCGAGGGAAACTATTACAGTTCTTGCCCATAGTGCTTTCTTTTCTGACATCATCTCTGACAGCAACTAGGTTTAGGAAAACAATCCAATTGGTCCTCACTTTAACAAAGGTGCACTTTCTGTAGCTTTATGATGAATGTCTGTTTCTTAAGGTAAGGAGAAAACCACTAGATCTATCATAAAGATTTTTTTTCTTTCATTCCTAAAAGTCTTTGGAGGCATGAGATCCACACAACAAACTGTATTAATTCCAATATGGCCATTGGCTGTTCAATTTAGATCCTAATACCACGCAAGTTTTCTCCCCACAAAGTTCCCAGATTATCAGTCTATGAAATCCTAATGCATCTTTGGAGTTATATTTTTTAAAACACAGGTCTAATTCAATCTTTACATTTTACTCTGTAGAAACAGGTCTCAATGGAATTCTATAACTTATCCAATTTACAAAGGCATGTTTAGGAGCTTAACTGGACTATCCTAGATATTCAGTGCAGCCTCGCATTTCTTGTTATGGTAAATTTATGAGCTCATAACTCATAGTTACAGATATTTGTAAAGGTGCCAATTTTGTTTGAACCAGACTATGTACCTGAATGATGAGTTAATTTCCAACTCACCAATTCTCCCCAGAGTTTCAAAACAGGTTCTCTAGAATTTTAGAGCTTCACTTCAATATCATTCATAATAGTCTGTCACATTTTTTAAGGCAATGCCAGTCTTCACACATTACTATTGGGTAATCCAAGCCCCCTTCCTAGAGATCATTTTGACTATGTAAGATCTTCTGGAGGAAAAAAAAACAGAAGAAGAACACTAAAAAGCATTCTTATTAAAATAATGCTAACAACACAAAAACAGTTATGTCACAAATAAAAGAAAAAAAGTATTTTATGCAAGATAATGAATTAAGATAATTCTAACATGTGGCATAAATTCTATCGCCCTGTTCTTAATAGTTCCTATTTTGCTTTCACACTATGTTTTGCATAAGAAGCATCAGATTTCATTTTTTAAAATCCTCCCTTGTAATAAAAATGTATTAAAAAGCCCAATACTTTCAGGCTTGTTAGCATATTTTCAAAGTTACATTAGATGTACAGCCCCAAGTGGGAATATTAAAACAACACACATATCAAGCTATTGGACTTGAGAGGAAAATAAGTTTGTGATATGTTTTGTTGGGCCTGATTTACAGTCAGAACAAAACTTTCAGTCATGCATTATTAACTGGAGATAGGACAAGAAAAAGGTTTTATTGTCCCAAGATTAATTAATGGCTGTTCTTCAGTAAGCATTTGCCTCAGAGGCAGAGTTTGCTGGAACAATTTCCTCTTATACTCTTGGGAACTTGTAACACTGTACCTGAAAACTCAACTTCATAGAATCCTAATACCCTGAAGAAAAAAAAAATAACTATGATAAAACTGAAACTGCCCACCTGAACACAGACAAGTATTTAACTCAGAGGAGCAGTCTGCATGCTTGCCTTGCTCTGACGGGAAAATTCATGTTCCTTTCACATCTGTAAGTGCAGGTGGATACTTCCTCATTGTATCCAGAAATAACTAGTTGCATGGGACAAACTTGACTACAACTTCTCTTCTTCAAAGGCATCTGCCTGGCATCCTGAGTAATCAAAATCCATCCCAAATTGTAAACAATAGTGACATTTTAACCTAATATTGTTGAGGGTTCAGCATTTTCAAAAAAATAGAAGTAAGCGTCAACTGGATTTTGCATTTCATCACATTCTTTTTTCCTTTTCTTTCATCTTCTTTTTGTTGGGAAACACAGCACTTAGGGTATAAGGATTAAATTTTCATATTCAAAGATGTATGTCACCACTGTTTCACTCTCATAAAATATTTGTCTGACTAATATTTTATAATATTTTTTCCTACAAGCACACTGTATGTTTCTTTAACTTTCAGTCATTGCCAATCTTTTGTAGTTACCACAACAACAGGTGTTAAGTGGTGTATACATGTGTATAGGATGAGCCTTTATTGATCTTTGTTATCTTTATCTTTCTTTTTCAGTAGTTTGGGTGTGGATTTCTCTGAATTTATTCTGTTTGGCATAGAATTCTTTAAGTCTATCATCAAATTTTATCTTCCATCAATTACCCCTCAGGGTTTATCTGGGAATTAGGTATTAGTCTATGTTGTACATCAGTTCTTCAAATTTTTGTTATATCACAGTATTTTATTTGGCCAACAATATTTGGTTTTGATTGTAGTATAGCTTTTTAAGTATAAATAAATTATAGAAGTGAGACTAGTGTGCACCTTAGGGAGAGGAGGGGACTGATGTTTCCTGGGAAGATGCATGAGGGAAACTCCTGGGGTGAAAGAAATGAACAGAGGCTAACACATGAATATATATGAAAAATTAGTCGAGTTGTACAATTAAAATACAATTAAGTGCTGTACACACTTTACATAAATTATACCTTGATAAAATTTTAAGGCATTTTTTCATTTATTATCCTCACAAAAATGGCATTTATTATTTTCTTAAAATTCTACACAGCACTGGCTTTAGGAACTAAAATAATATAATACAATGGCAATATTTATTTAATTCATTGATTATTTCTTCAGTAACACCTTTTGGGACATCTACTTTGTGGAAAGTGTAGACAAAAGACATAGTATTTCCTTGAGCTCACAGTTTAAAGACATGTAAGTTCAGGTACAATTGTTATCACGGTAGAATTCCTATGTTTGGGGAAAATACAGTGGATTTTTAAAAAACACATAAGTGGGGTCAACAACCAAGTCTGAGGGGTGAAATATAAGGGAAAGCTTCCCTAAGTACAAGATGGCTGAGCTTGATGTGCACTGACAGAGATTAAAATCAAAGTAGAGAAACTTTTTTTAAAGTGGCCAAAAAATGGCATTGAAGTATGTTGGCAGAAGAATACAAAATTATTACACCACTTTTCTCTTTAAACGCATAAACCAGATAAATTAAGTGCAAGAAGACTTTAAGAAATGAATGGCTTATTGGAAATATATTCTCATTACCTACGAAAGGTTCAACAAGAAAGTAAGTTAATTAAAACTCTGAAAGATGAGAGGAAAACTGCTTCAGTTTTACCTGGGAACAAAGGTCTTTGGGGAAGATTTTATAAGAGAAGACCTGTTAGGCAATAGGGCCGCGTGATCTTAAGTTTTATTTGGGAGAATGATGAACATTAGTGAACAGCTGGGGCTGAGCTCTTGTTACACATGTTAACTTCAAAGGAGGACTTTGGTGCAAGGCAGTAACACTTACTAATGTCAATAGTTTTCAGCCAGTAACTCCACTTTTTGTCATTCATTTCCTAGCAACAGACTCTGACCTCAAATTATCCATTTGCCTATTTTTCATATGCCCCAGACCAGCAACATTTCAACCACATTTCTATTCCCTCTGGCCTTGCTCCTACTTGTTGCCCTATCTTGCTTCACTACTCCTTTTCTGAATGGCTCAGTATTCTCCTTTACATTGAAAGCCGTAAGAGCTTAGCAAAATAAAAATTTATCTTTCACGCTCACAAAATCCAACATAGATGTTCTGTTCAGTCAGGGTGACTTCCACATTATCATTTAGCATCCAGTCTCTTTCCAGCTTTCCCTAGGGTCTGAAGTGTTCTGTTAAGATCCTTTCCCAGGTGGCAGATGGGGGAAGAGGAAGTATAAAGAAAATATAGGAAGTTTTGATGAGCTAAGGCGGGCAGTATTTCAAATCACTTCAGCTCACATTCAAGTGGCTAAAACCCAGCCACATGGCCACGTCTAAGTGTAAGGTAGGCTGAGAGATGTCCTTCCTCTAGCTGTCTGCTCAGGAGGAAGAGAGAATTATTTCGGAAAGCCCATAGCAGTTTCCACTACATCGTTTCATTACTGTTCTGCAGCTAATTTCCACTTATATCTGGGCTTCCCAATATAATAAGCTTCACAGACAGGTATCTGCAGTCCCTACTGGCCCTAGTTGACATGCCTGAATTTTGGTAGTAAAAGATAGTAATAATTCATAAATGAATATGTATGTATTAAATGT